CCTGCATAGTGTCTACTATTCATTAAAGAGCAAGTCACCCCCTACAAGAGACTTACTTCACTCCCACTTGAGCCCCCTTCAGACAGGCCATGAAAAACGGAAATGTTCCGGACTCTGTCCGTAAGACCTTTGTGTCTGAATCCAAACATCCGGATAACGTTTTCCGTAGTTTAACCGGACAACGCCCCTAGTAACAGGTCCGGACTTGTTACGGACAAGGTGGCTGCTTCAGACTGGTGAGGTCGAGTTCCGGACAGGGAGGAGGGGGAGAAGGAGGGGACCGGGGGACGCTGTGCGCACCTAGATAGCCCGCTCCTGTAGCATGCGGCGAACCATGGCAGCTCGCCTCCTACGGTACCGTCTAGACGCGCGAAGGAGCGCTTCACACCGCTTCAGTGATTCCTTTAACCATTGAGCTTCATCATCCAGGTCATCTTCGTGTCACGGTTTGCCTCTGCAGTAACCCATTTGCAGGAATAAAGATCCTTTATCCAGAGTTCAAAAAAGATTTAATAAACAAAACCTCCTCCACTGACTGTGGGAACCAAAAACCAAAACCAAACTCAATCCATACAAGTACAACTCAGCAAAGACAACTCCACACTGATGACTGGCAGCAGTGGCCTGAAATAGGGTGAGGGCAATCAAGATGATGTGGTTCAGCTGCAGCACTCCAGGAGGTTCACAGGGAAGGGGAGGATTCCTGAGAGGAGCTGCAGCTGACCTGAACAAAAAACAACAGAGAAAAAGTTAAACACAAACACAAAAAGGGGCGAATCATAACATAACCCCCCTCACAAAGTCCGGCTCCCAGACGGACGTCTCGGCTGGGTGGGGTGTTCCCGGTGAAACTGATCGATCAGATCACGGCTGAGGATGTGGCGTTCTGGGACCCATTGCCTGTCCGCCGGGCCGTAACCCACCCAGTCCACGAGGTATTGGATGCCCCTGCCCACTCTCCTCGAGGCCAAGAGCTTATTCACGCTGTAGACAGGACCGCCATCCACAATGCGGGGAGCTGGAGGGACCGCAGGTGGCGTCTGCAGGGGACAGAGTCTCTCAGGCTTCAGCTTGCTCACATGGAACACAGGGTGGACTCTCAGTGCCCGAGGGAGCTCCAACCTGACGGCTACTGGGTTGATGACCTTGGTGATGGGGAAGGGTCCGATGAATCTGGGCCGCATCTTCCTGGCACCCCCCTTCAGTGGCAGATCAGCCGAAGAGAGCCAAACCCTGTCACCCACCTTGTACTCCGGAGCAGCAGACCTCCGGCGGTTAGCCACGGAGGTGAACCGTTCCTGGTTCCGAACCAGTCGGGAACGGTACTCAGTCCATGTACGACGGCAGCACCTCACAAATGCTGCAGGACCGGAGGTGGAAGCCGACCTCTCCTGATGGGGGAAGAGAGGCGGTTGGTACCCGTAGGCAGCCTGGAAGGGGGAGAAGCCAGTAGAATTAACCAGGGTGTTGTGCGAATACTCAGCCCAGGGGAGTTGAGAGGACCAAGTCTGGGGGTTCTTCAGGCACATAGCACGCAGGGTGGTCTCCAGATCCTGGTTAAAGCGCTCTACTTGACCATTTGTCTGAGGGTGGAAACCAGAGCTCAGACTGACCGTTATTCCAAGGAGTCTGCAGAACTCCTTCCAAAAAGCTGCAACAAACTGGGGTCCTCGATCCGAGGTGATGTTCTCCGGAAGTCCGTGCAGCCGAAAAACATGCCGCACCACCACCTCCGCCAGTTGCTGAGCCGATGGCAATCTCTGCAGGGGTATCGCATGCACCATCTTTGAGAACCTGTCCACTACAGTCAGGATCACAGTCTTACCCTTAGAGTTGGGTAGTCCAGTGATGAAGTCCATTGCAATGTGGGACCAAGGTCCGGAGGGAACAGGTAGAGGTTGCAGGAGTCCAGCCGGAGGAGTTCTGGGTGACTTGACGCTGGCACACACTGGGCAAGAGGAGACAAAAGCTCGAACGTCAGAAGACACCGTAGGCCACCAGAACCGCTGCGCTACCAGAAAGGCAGTCCTGGTTACCCCAGGATGGCAGGCCAGGCGTGATGAATGCCCCCATTTCAACACCGCCGGGCGAAAACCTGGGGGAACAAACAAACAGTGCGGGGGGCATCCAGACGGAATGGTAGTGGGGTCTCGGACTGCAGCATTAATCCTGCGCTCCAAGGACCAACGAGAGACCCCAAGGACCAAGTTGGGCGGCACGATGAACGTGGACTCCGACTCCACAGCCTCACCCTCCTGCTGGTACTGGCGGGACAGGGCATCAGGTTTAATGTTCTTACTGCCCGGACGGAAGGAGAGGTTGAAGTTAAACCTGTCAAAAAACAGAGCCCACCGTGCTTGGCGGGGGTTAAGGCGCTTGGCAGTCCGTACATACTCCAAGTTCTTATGGTCGGTCCACACCAAAAACAGCTGCTCAGCACCCTCCAACCAGTGGCGCCATTCTTCGAGTGCTAGCTTAACAGCTAGCAACTCTCTGTTCCCTATGTCGTAATTTCTCTCTGCAGGAGTGAGCTTGCAGGAGAAATACGCGCAGGGATGTACTTTATTATCAGACGCTCTCTGTGACAGCACAGCACCCACCCCTGACTCAGACGCATCAACCTCCACAATGAATTGCTTGGAGGTGTCAGGCTGGGTCAGGATAGGGGCCGCAGAGAACCGTCTTTTGAGCTCGGCAAAGGCCATGTCGGCAGCAGTGTCCCAGACAAAACGTACCTTAGCCGAGGTGAGTCTGTGGAGGGGTGCAGCCACGCCACTGAAACCTCTGATGAAGCGCCTGTAGAAGTTGGCGAACCCCAGGAAGCGTTGAAGCTGCTTCCGACCAGTAGGTGTAGGCCACTCGAGAACCGCTTTGACCTTGTCACAGTCCATCTGTACCTCTCCAGGCGTGATCACATGCCCCAAGAACTTAGTCTTGGTGGTGTGAAACTCACACTTTTCAGCCTTACAGAAGAGCTGGTTCTCAAGTAGGCGCTGCAGAACGGCCCTGACGTGCTGCACATGTGTTTTACGGTCTGGGGAGAAAATTAAAATGTCATCCAGATAGACGTACACAAATCTGTTAATCATGTCCTTCAACACATCATTAATAAAACACTGAAACACAGCTGGTGCGTTTGTCAGTCCAAAAGGCATCACCAGGTATTCAAAATGGCCGCACGGGGTGTTGAAAGCAGTTTTCCACTCATCCCCCTCCCGTATGCGCACCAGATGATAAGCGTTCCGTAGATCCAGCTTAGTGAACACCCGAGCCCCTCTAATCTGGTCAAAGGCAGACTGCAAGAGAGGCAGGGGGTAAGTGTTACGAACCGTGACGCTATTCAGACCCCTGTAGTCAATACACGGCCGTAAACCCCCATCCTTCTTGCCCACAAAGAAAAACCCTGCCCCCGCAGGTGATGAGGATGGCCGAATAATGCCTGCCTGTAAGCCCTCCTGAATGTATTCCTCCATGGCTGTTGTCTCAGGGATGGACAGAGGATAGAGACGGCCTTTAGGAGGTTGAGCACCAGGAAGGAGGTCCACAGCACAGTCGTAAGGACGGTGAGGGGGCAGGTTCTTAGCACGAACCTTACTGAACACCGCAGCCAAGTCTGTATATTCGGGGGGAACATTACTGATGTCAGGTGGTTCCAAGGGAGGCTGGCTAGAAACAGGGCGAACAGGAGCAGCAGACAAACAGTTCAATAAACAAAAAGGACTCCACGTCAACACGCGGCCAGAAACCCAGTCAATATGGGGACAGTGTTTGCTTAGCCAGGGGTAACCCAGGATCACAGGAGGCACTAAAGAGTCAACCACAAAAAAACACATCCGCTCTGTGTGGTTCCCAGAGACCGTCACAGTGACAGGAACAGTGCGTGCAGTCACCTTGTGGATAAGGGAACCATTTACAGCATGGATGGACAATGCAGGAAACACCTCCTCGACTGGAATCAAAAGTTCGCTTACCACTGCCTGGGACATCAGATCCCCATCAGAGCCGGAGTCAATAAGGGTGTCATATTCACCGTGTCTCGTCCCATATGTCAACCGCACACTGGTGGGTGGTCGTGAGGGCGGAGAAAAGGATGACACCCGACCCGCTAGCTGCATGGGCTCCGAGGGCGGGGCGTCACTGCCCAGGTGAGAAACACTCACAGAAATCGGGTGAGGACGAGGTGAAGAAGTCAGTGGGCGGAGTTCATCATGAAGGCGCTCCATCCTCCGCCGATCGATGCGTACAGCCAGATCGATAAGATCCTCCAGCTCCTCAGGAACCTCCCTCGCGGCTAGCTCGTCCTTGAGCTCGCTGGAGAGCCCCTGAAGGAAGACGTCGACCAGTGCATCATCAGGCCAGCGGGAGCTTGCCGCCAGCGTCCGGAACTGTACTGCATAGGACGCTACGCTGTCATCTCCTTGTTTGAGCCGGAGCAGCTCAGAAGCAGCCGCGCGGTGCGGTGTTGAGGGATCAAACACCACGAGGAGTTGAGTGGAAAAGGCCCGGAAGGAACGAACCACCTCCGCTCCACGATCCCACTCAGCCAGTCCCCACCTCTTGGCTCTGCCCGTCAGGAAACTCAAGGCAAAAGCCACCTTGCTCTGCTCCGAGGGGAATTCGCTTGGATTAAAGTCAAAATGGAGCCGGCAGGAGGTGAGGAATGGTCGACAATCCTCTGCGGTACCAGAAAAAGTTTCAGGACGACCCAAACGAACCTGTCGAGGGGGAGCAGGCGCTTGCTCCAGTCTGGCTACACAGGGACGAAATTTTGATTTCAGAAGTGGGGGGGGACACAGCAGGCTTGTGCGGATTTGGGGTGGGGGGTGTTATGTAAAGACCCCTTGACACGTCACGTGCCCATCTCAATAATTTTTCCATCCTCTCTCTCTCTCTCTCTCTCTCTCTCTCTCTCTCTCTCTCTCTCTCTCTCTATATATATATATATATATATATATATCAAAGTTAAAAAATGTACAACTCTATTATTATTTTTATTTATTATCATTATTGAAGTGCAGTTTTGGCTGTTGACAATGGATAGGCCATTGTATTTATTGTTTTTGGGTCTTTTTTATTGTTTTTGGTGCAACATTTTCTAACAGGGAGTGAGATTCCTTTTTTATTCAATTTTTGTTTGTTATTTTTATTCATTTAGAAGTTCTGGTTCTGGACATTTCAATGTTAAATGAAGGTTTATTTGTTGCATTTTAAAGGGTGTACTTGCATTATTATGATATATTAACATTATATTAGTGGTTATTTTGGTCTAGATAATGTTGACAATATCGTTTATCATCAACAATTTGTTGGACAAAATATCGTCCAGCAAAATTTGTTTCTTTCCCAGGCCTAGTCAAAAGTATAAAAATTATTTATACATAAACGGTCCCTCCTGAGATCTGGCCGTTTGTTCATTTGCTGTGTTAGAGGACATGCTGAACTAATGTTTTACACATGATCATCACCCTAACATTTGAGTGTATAAAAACATATTAAATATGTTTTTTCCCTTAAAAGTGTTTAAACAGTTGTTGCATTTCAACACACAAAAAATAAATGGAAAAAATAAGATAAATCTAATGAAAAGTGTACATCTTTGACATTAAGCTTAAAAAAATCTGTTGACGATGATGATACTGTTCATTTTTCAGAGCTTTTTAATGTGAAAATATACATTGCAATAGATAAGTTTACAATAAAGTTAAATGATAAAAGTTTTGAAGTTACACTTCTACTACTACTACTACTAGTAATAATAATTATGATGATAATAGTAATAATAAAAAATAATTATTATAATAATACGAACAAATTGTGTCTGAGGAGTCAGTTATGTGGAGGAGATGAGTTTGTAAAAGTTAGTTTTGAGTATGTTTGTGAAGGAGGAGGTGAGTCTGAGCTTAATGCAGGGGTGTCACATGTCCAACTTACGTTTTGACTTTGAAAGAAGTCTTATATCCACTTTTCGTTTTCTTGACATGCTGCCTCCTGGCTGTGCCTAACTACCAAAGACTCACAAATGAACACTTATTCAAATGTTATGTAGCGTCTAGTTGACGATGTGACTCAGTACCGGTGTTCCCTAGCGGCTCCAAACTAGCAAAACAACGTGAGCACGTTCTGACTGTTTACAACTTGAGTGACAGCAGCAACAGCCAATAATACGTTAGCAAGTATCAGCAGAGCCAATAGATTAGCTTTTGGGCGGGTCTAATAGTAAACCGGTTTCCGTTTCGGTCCTAGTGCTCAACCAAATCCATTTAATGGAGCGTAACATTGATTTTGGACGGAAAAAAGTGCAGGGGACCAAAACTGCCTTTTGAAAAAGTGGGGGGGACATGTCCCACCCGTCCCCCCCCAAAATTACGTCCCAGTGGCTACACGTCCATGCAACTGCTGCAACCCTGACATGCAGCTGCGGAGCTCCTGGGTCAGAACAGGAAGGCTGGCTTCTCCTGCAGCACTCTCACCAGAGGCAGGTAAGGAAGGGTCTTGTCTCTGGGTTCTTCCTGCTGGGTCAGACATCTTGGTGGAGTTGTAATGTCACGGTTTGCCTCTGCAGTAACCCATTTGCAGGAATAAAGATCCTTTATCCAGAGTTCAAAAAAGATTTAATAAACAAAACCTCCTCCACTGACTGTGGGAACCAAAAACCAAAACCAAACTCAATCCATACAAGTACAACTCAGCAAAGACAACTCCACACTGATGACTGGCAGCAGTGGCCTGAAATAGGGTGAGGGCAATCAAGATGATGTGGTTCAGCTGCAGCACTCCAGGAGGTTCACAGGGAAGGGGAGGATTCCTGAGAGGAGCTGCAGCTGACCTGAACAAAAAACAACAGAGAAAAAGTTAAACACAAACACAAAAAGGGGTGAATCATAACACTTCGTGTGCGCAGAATTATGCTTAGCATTAGTCCGATGCTGAAGGCTTCTGAACACGGACAGCTCTCACTCACACCACAGGTTTTCAATAATATTCAGGTCTGGGGACTGAGATGGCCATTCCAGAATGTTCTACTTGTTCCTCTGCATGAATGCCTTAGTAGATGTTGAGCAGCATTTAGGGTCATTGTCTTGTTGAAAGATCCAGCCCCGGTGCAGCTTCAGCTTTGTCACGGATTCCTGGACATTGTCTCCAGGATCTGCTGAAATTGAGTAGAATCCGTGTGTCCTTAAACTTTAACAAGATTCCCAGTCCCTGCACTGGCCACAAAGCCCCACAGCATGATGGGACCACCACCATGTTTTACTGTAGGTAGCAGTGTTTTTCATGGATAAGCACCATCATACATTGGTGGTCCTCTCAGTGTCTACACCCCTAGCAGGTCCCTGAGGTCCAGTGACCAAAGCGTAATGGTTTACAATGGTTGATTTATTAAAAATTAATATTCCGAATTAATTCGTAGTATGGTTCCTCTTTCATAAAAGAGCCTAAAACCACAACGCTACAGTTGTGCAGTGCACCAGGCACTGCACAACCATTCTTTAAGTCACAACTGAGGAACTCCTCAAGGTGCTTTACAACACAATCAGTCATTCACACACACATTCACAACCTGGTGGTGATGAGCTACTTTGTAGCCACAGCTGCTCTGGGGCACACTGACAGAGGCATGTCTTCTGTACACAGGCGCCACCGGTCCCTTCGAACACCACCAGCAGGCAAAGTGGGTTAAGTGTCTTGCCCAAGGACACAACAACAATGACAGACTGTGCGGGGCTCAAACCTACAACCCTGCGATTATGGGGCGAGCACTTAACTAATTTGCCATCATCGCCTACATAGAAAAGGTGACAGATCATTTGCTGCTGTGGCCCCCAGACTCTGGAACTCTCTCCCCATGAGCCTGAGATCAGTGGACTCAGTGGTCTCCTTTAAAAAGCAGCTGAAAACTCAACTGTTTAAGCTGGCTTTTGTTTGACCTTCATCACCATCTCCTTATTCAGCTCTTTCTAACTACTCTGCCTTTCTTGGGGTCCACTGATTTCCATCCATCCATTTTCTTTTCAGTAATTAAAGAGCAAGTCACCCCCTACAAGAAACTTACTTCACTCCCACTTCAGGTTTGAAAAATGCAACAAATGCTGTTGCCTGGCAGACCGAGAGGGTGAAGCCGCTAACAAATAAACACACACAGGCTCACAATGGCATTGTGACATCATAATGTACCAGCTAACATCATAGCATGCCTCTTAGCCAATAGCGGTGGCAGATTTACATTCAAATACAGTGCAGAATTTTTGCCCGACGACGGTGCATCGCTGACAGTTTTAGGCAGAATATTTAAAGGGTTTTTATGGAAGTTTGACAGCCAAAATATGTGTAGAAATAATAAATTTCTTCTTCATACATTCTCCTGCAATGCCCTGGTCCCGTAGAATGAGCCCTGGCATTTTTACTGTGATTGCCTGTTTTTCTGTAAAATCACAGAAAAAGAGAGCTGCTCGGGTCGAGCAGGCTGCTTCATGCGCGTTCACGCTCAGACATAGCCCTCCGAGTCATTCTTTGAACGTTGTTTCAGCTGTGATCAAGGATATAAATGTTACAGATAGAAAGAATGTCACTGGCACTCTAGCTCGCCTAGTAAGATGTCGGACTTACGTGCAGAGGATCTGGGTTCGATTCTGGATCAAGCCCCCACAATGCGGGTGAAAAACTGAAGCAATCCTGGAAGTGAAATAAATTGCAGTTGCACCCTCATCCGCTGGGGGCTGGTGTCAGAAGCGAGCAAATCCTCATTGACTCCCATGTTAAAAATACCAATTTTCACAGCAGAAATAAACATGTTTACAGCCTGGTACCAAAACATGTTTTTGGTTTAAATTATCTAGTTTACACTCATGACAACTCTGAGGGGGGTGGATTTTTTTCTCACTCTTCTGTTTAAGTGTATTAAAAGCCTAAAATTCTGTATAATTAATGAGCATCAGACCTACGTGACCGCAGAGCTAGCTCTGGGGAAAGGCCTCAGTCTGATTGGACAAAATTACTTGCTATGGCATTAATTGCACTAATAGAGCGTCCAAGGAGTCTCCACTTCATTTTTTTCAGTAAGTAAAGTTATATTTATGTATTTTAGGTCACTGCCGCTCTTGCACTAGCTGAGATTAGATTTTAACATGTACTGTTTAACCATGAAATTTAAATGTAATAGGGTAAAACCCAGTGCATTTAACATAATGCTGCACTTTAGAAAATGGGTTGAAATAGAACATGTTGGTGGAGCTGGGTTCCGACTATCGGCTTGTGGAGCTCTCGGGAGACCAATGTTTTCCACCCATTTCTCCCCTCCCCGCAGCTCGGCGCATCTCTGTCTGATCGCCGCTTCTGTCTGCTGCGCAGCTGCCGGCTTTCAGCAGCTTTTGGGAGACCTCTGTGTTCTACCCGGTTTTACCCAGCGGTCAGCCCGGTGTATCTCTGACTCAGAAGCTCTGGTGTTGTGCACAGTTACCTCCGGTTGTAGCTAGGTTGCTACCTCCGTTAGCTTAGCTCCCACCTCCGCGTTAGCTTTGGGTTAGCTTCAGGTTAGCTTGTATCTAGTTTGACCGGGTGTCGTCAGTTGATCCCAGCCTTACAGCCCCACCCTCAGCTCCACCTCTCTTCCCTTTTGTGGAATTGTCTGGGCTTGACGGAACCTGTGACACAGTCAAAATGGCGGTGGTGGCCACTCCCATTTTAGCACAAAAACTTATTATTGGAGTGTATGGTAACCCATTGTCCAATATTTATATGTCGATGGTTCTGCATCATGGGAGTGTGTGTCTGTGTCCAGATGAGAGGAGCTGGAACTCATGGTGTTGTGGATGAGAGCTGTCACATGGATCCAGCCTCTGTACTTGTCTTCAAAACAATGTGACAGGGCTCAGCTGCTGCTCTTCTTGTCTTACTAGACCACTGCTGCCCTTGCTTATGACAGAATGAGATTTACCCTTTTAAAGACAGTCTCACAGTTTGCCTCGAATGTCAGTTTGCGGTCAATAACTGCCATTTGTCCTGTACATCACCGGCAGTGTGTGAGTGTGAAAGTGCATGAATAATGGTGAGCACTTTGACTGCCTAGAACAACGCCATGTAAATCAAATCCATTACTATAATAATAATAATAATAATAATATTATTAGGTATTTGTACTCAACTCTTTCCACTTTGGACCTTTAATGGTTGTTAATTCTTATGGATGTTAATCAGGCTCATGATGGAGGTGTTAATAGAGATAAACCTCCTTAAACAGTTTGGTTTTGATGGGATAGCAGACATGTTGATGGTTTAGATGAAGCTTTGTCATCTGATAAAGACCAATAGGACAGAAACATAAACCAGGTTCTTCTGTTGCTTCTAAATCTGTCTAACTTGTTAATGATGAGTAATAACAGTGGAGGATGATGGGAATTTAGTGTCTACTTGAGGTTATTTTAATTATGAAGGATTTTATGACATCATCCCTCCTGATGGCTGTAGGGATACGTGGCTCAACAGAGGCAGGACCCTCCACCAGTCTGGCTATAGAAAAGAAAAGAAAAAAACCCGAGTTGTTCTTGTTCTTCTCTATTACGTATTAATGAATTATACTCAGCTCCAGCTCAGCAGAGAAAGTTCTCGTTAATAACAAGCTGTCTCTCTAGCTTAAATAAAATTCTTTATGGAACGCTATTTTCTCTGTAACTTTCTTTAAGTCTGTTTTGAAATGTACAGCAATGAATTAAACCAGGGCGCCTCCTGCGCCTTGTGATTTTATCTTGAGAGACGCTATAAAAAAATCTTTTCTTCTTCCTCTGACCGATCACCAACAGAATCAGAGCCTGTAAAGTTAGTCTGGAACCTCCGCTGCAACAAGATAATAGATTTTTGAAAAGGTCAAATTCCAGTTGATGTCCTCTATTGGTTCTCACTCATCTCCCTTGTCTCTGGTGGATGGATCTATATCTCTGGTATACTGCACCTTCTACACTGTAACTGCTCACACCCTTTAAATTAGTATTTTTTCTGATTCTTAAATCTGAAATTAATTTGTGCATTTTAAAGGTGTGGTTTCCTTTTTTAATTATTATTTCAATAACTCTGAGATTTTCATGCAGGCTGAACATGAAAATAATCTAATTTAGTGATGACAAGATGAAGACCCAAAGGAAGGGTGAATCAGAAACTCACCTGATATCAAAAAACAACCCTAGTTAACGTGTGTTTTCATCCAACACTTCTAACCCTGGATTAGAACTAATGGATGAGGTGAAATGTCTTAAAGTAGTGGCTTTTTAAACGATCCCTTCTCTAGGATCACAGATATGGTTAGGCTACTTAGTGCCAATCTGTTTTCAGACATGTTTGTAGTTCTTTGCATGAATCTCAGCTCAGTTTGTAGAAGACCAGTTAGTAACTATTTCCTTCTTCATGTCTCCTTTTTAGGCATAAGAAGTGGAAACAACATTGGACAGTTAATTGTCCACCGTCTTCTGTGATTTTCCAGTTTTGAGGCTCTGGATTATTTATGAAAATTAAAAGTCATTCACAAGTATTTTATTTTTCTTATTTTCTTTTCAGATTAATTTTATGCTGGAGGCTGAAATTTGTGACAAGGCTGCTTGGAGGCCATCAGCACCTAAAAAACAACATGGCGGACACCATGAATGCGTTGCCGTTCTTCTACGGCAACATCACAAGGGAAGAGGCGGAGGTCTACCTGCGGCAGTCAGGCTTGACCAGTGGCTTGTATCTGTTACGACAAAGCCGAAACTATCTAGGCGGCTTTGCGCTCTCTGTTTCATTCTCAGGCCGCATCTATCACTACACCATTGAACGACAACCCAATGAGACGTTTGCGATTGCTGGTGGTAAGAGCCACAGAACCCCCATGGATGTGATTGACTACCATTCCCAGGAGATGGATGGTCTTGTGTGTCTGCTGAAGAAGCCCTGCAACAGGCCCAAGAACATGCAGCCAAAGGTGGGGCCGTTTGAGGACTTGAAAGACAAACTCATCCGGCAGTATGTAAAGCAGACCTGGAACCTGCAGGTTAGTTTCTCTAGCATTTACATCCTTCAGGACTGATCGACTATAAACTAGTCTGATGTTGTATCTGGTCTTAGAGAGAACAAGACTAACGTGTTGCTTTGGTCCTAAAACAGCTCAGAGCTCTTAAATCTCTTAAATTTCACCTTGGTTGATGTGATGTTATTCAATAAACTCACCACGAGTCTTACTCTACATTAAATTATGTAGTTATTCAAGAGCCTAATTATCCACAGCAGCAGGTAAGTGTACTTCTGGTTCATCCAGGTATTGAGTCCAGCAGGAATTCATCTTTCTGCTGAAACCTGAGATTTTAGACATTGATGCTTTAAACCTTAGCAACACAATTTGGAACATTCAGGCTGTATCAGTGAGCTAAGGTGTGTGTATGTGTGGACTCAGTTGGGTGTTACTACGTCACTATGGCCCAGCAGCCTCCCCTCAGTCAATGCACACCCGGGGCAGCTGTGGCTACGTTGTAGCTCATCACCACTAGGGTGTGAATGACTGATTGTGTTGTGAAGCACCTTGGCCCTATGTCAAAAACAGGCTATATACAACTATTTTAACTCAACTACAAAACGCATATTGAAGATCATATTAGTATTTATATTAGAGAATGATTAGTATACAGGTGCTGGCCAGTAAATTAGAATATCATCAAAAGGTTGAAAATATTTCAGTAATTCCATTCAAAACGTGAAACTTGTACATTATATTCATGCAATGCACACAGACCAATGTATTTCCAATGTTCATTACATTTAAATTTGATATTCATAAGTGACAACTAATGAAAACTCCAAATTTGGTATCTCAAAAAATTAGAATATTCTGAAAAGGCTGAATATAGAAGACACCTGCTGCCACTCTAATCAGCTGATTTACTCAAAACACCTGCAAAGGCCTTTAAAAGGTCCCTCAGTCTTGTTTTGAAGGCACCACAATCATGGGGAAGACTTCTGACTTAACAGCTGTCCAAAAGACAATCATTGACACCTTGCACAAGGAGGGCAAGACACAAAAGGTGATTGCTAAAGAAGCTGGCTGTTCGCAGAGCTCTGTGTCCAAGCACATTAACAGACAGGCGAAGGGACGGAAAAAATGTGGTAGAAAAAAGTGTACAAGCTCTAGGGATAACCGCACCCTGCAGAGAATTGTGACGACAAACCCATTCAAAAATGTGGGGGAGATCCACAAAGAGTGGACTGCAGCTGGAGTCAGCGCTTCAAGAACCACCACGAGGAGACTCATGAAAGACATGGGATTCAGGTGTCGCATTCCGTGTGTCAAGCCACTCTTGAACATGAAACAGCGCAAGAAGCGTCTCGCCTGGGCCAAGGACAAAAAGGACTGGACTGATGCTGAGTGGTCCAAAGTTATGTTTTCTGATGAAAGCAAGTTCTGCATTTCCTTTGGAAATCAAGGACCCAGAGTCTGGAGGAAGAGCGGAGAAGCACAGAATCCACGTTGCACGAGGTCCAGTGTAAAGTTTCCACCGTCAGTGATGGTGTGGGGTGCCATGTCATCTGCCGGTGTTGGCCCACTCTGTTTCCTGAGGTCCAGGGTCAATGCAGCCGTCTACCAGGAAGTTTTAGAGCACTTCATGCTTCCTGCTGCTGACCAACTTTATGGGGATGCAGACTTCACCTTTCAACAGGATTTGGCACCTGCACACAGTGCCAAAACCACCAGCACCTGGTTCAAGGACCATGGTATCCCTGTCCTTGATTGGCCAGCAAACTCGCCTGACCTTAACCCCATAGAAAATCTATGGGGTATTGTGAAGCGGAGGATGCAATACGCTAGACCCAACAATGCAGAGGAGCTGAAGACGACTATCAGAGCAACCTGGGCTCTCATAACACCTGAGCAGTGCCACAGACTGATCGAGTCCATGCCACGCCGCATTACTGCAGTTATTGAGGCAAAAGGAGCCCCGACTAAGTATTGAGTGCTATACATGCACATTCTTTTCATGTTCATTCTTTTCAGTTGGCCAACATTAGAGAAACAAACATTTTTTCATTGGCCTTTAGAATATTCTAATTTTCTGAGATACCAGATTTGATGTTTTCATTGGTTGTCACCTATAAATATCAAAATTAAACGTAATAAACATCGGAAATACATTGGTCTGTGTGCATTGCATGAATATAATGTACAAGTTTCACGTTTTGAATGGAATTACTGAAATATTTTCAACCTTTTGATGATATTCTAATTTACTGGCCAGCACCTGTATTTGTTCTTGCAGGGAGCAGCTCTTGAGCAGGCCATCATCAGCCAGAGACCTCAGCTTGAGAAACTCATAGCCACCACTGCTCATGAACGAATGCCCTGGTTCCACGGAGCAATAACCCGGGAGGAATCTGAGCCACGGCTCCAGTGCGGCTCCCGCACAAATGGAAAGTTCCTGTAAGTATCTGACCATGTTCACAATAAATGTTCCTAATACTAAATATTAGAGATGTTAGATATTGACTTTTTTACTGATATCCAACATACCAAATTAAATAGTCCAACTTAATAACAGATACCAATCTAAACCAACACCAATGCATGCAGGGTCGCCCTCTTGTTAAAAAACAAACCATGAACATGAATGACTTTTGTGAATGTGTTGTAACGTGGAAGAAAACAGTCTTGGGTAACATCATTCCACATCTCCTATCATGCATACTTAAACTTTAAACATTATCTTTTCAATTGAAGTGCAGCCACTTGTGCCAAACAAACAATAATATTGCTAAACCTCTACCTGGATCTATCATATTGACACTGAGAGGAAAGTAGCTGAAAGGTTTGGTGTGTCATATGTGCATGCTAGAGAGCCTTACTTTATTTTACTTTATATTAGGGCTGCACAGTACATCACAAACGTATTGTCATCGAGATATCGGCTTGCTCAATACACAAATCGCAAAGAACAGGCAAATACACTATGAATGGTCAGCTCAAACGTTTGCTACACACAATGCAAATAGAGTCCTTCACTCATTTGGCCAATCAGGTGGGTTATTTTAGGTTAGATGCAGATATGGGGTGTTTCTCAATGTCAAGAAACCTTGCCTTGATGTCTTGGTCCCGCCCCGGTTGCCTAGGAAATACATCATCAGGAGCCGCCAAGGCGTGTTCCAGTCGGTTCCAATGTTCATGTTCTACCGAGGCGTGTGTTCTCCGTTTGTTAGCCGCTTAACTAGCTGAGCAAGGATACACGGGAGGTGTCTTGTAGCCTAGCCTTGGTCAAAAATTACCCACAATACACCGCAGTATTTTCAAAAAGACAGCGGATCAGAAGCCGGCAGCTACTTCGGGGACAATTTTTTAGATCCAAAGAAGTTATCTATTGTTGGTTAGTTGCTTAGTAGTTGCAGCTTCGTTGGCTAGCGGGTAGTAACTCACTTTTATTTTTTATTTAATAAACATATACACAATTTAAAAAGTAAAAGTCTTGTTATATATTTATACTGAAACAAATACATATATCTCCCGTGTCATGTGACGTTACGTGACTGCCGTAAAAGCCGCAGTCACGTGATGCAAGTCTGTTCCATTTAACCGTTTTCTTTAAATGATAAATGATAAATGACCTGCACTTGTATAGCGCCTCTCAGAGTAAGGACTCCAAAGCGCTTTACACTATAGTGTATCATTCATCCATTCACACACACATTCACACACTGATGGGGATGAGCTACGATGTAGCCACAGCTGCCCTGGGGCTCACTGACAGAGGCGAGGCTGCCGAGCACAGGCGCCACCGGACCCTCCGACCACCACGAGCAGGCAAGGTGGGTTAAGTGTCTTGCCCGATCACTGGACAATCCGCTCAACCTGTTGAGCTACTGCTGCCCCTTCCTTTGACCGAGAAAGGACAGTGTCCTCGCAAGCAAGGCGCCTGGCCTCGCAAGACATCGCCTCACAAGGCAAGGCGCCTTGACATTGAGAAACACCCATAGATTTGCAGTTTGAGGCAGATGACATTTAATTTAGATGGCTAGCTAACACCTAAGTTAGCTTTGTTCTGCTCTTTCTGCCAATTCTGATTTTCCAGGGATCCACTGATTGCCTTTTTTAATTTTCTTTTCCCCTTTCCTGACGTGTTTTGATCAAAATTTCCCATTTTTATATCTTTAAACTCTTTCATTTTTTTTGTTATTGACTGTCATTGCAAAAGTAATCACTGACACACACATATATATATGTATACACACACACACACACACACACACACACACACATAAAATAATTCTGTGCCTTTTTGGCTCAACTTCTTCACACAGACCTGTTCAGGCACATTTCTCCTCCATGCTGCTGGACGACAGAAATCCTGAAACTTCCATGATAAACTTGTTGATTTTAAAATAAACACATAAAATACTATTAAGTGAGAAAAACTACAACTTTTAACTCAAACAGAGAAAATATGTCTGTATGTGGTTAAAATCACGTATTTGAATGTGAAACGGTTAAACCACTGGATTTAAACATTTGCTTTTTAAACTAAGCATCCTGGGAGAATTTATAGCAGTTGAAGTCGAGCAGCAGTGGTCTCAGCTGAATAATCACACGCACGCACGCACGCACGCACGCACGCGCACACACGCACACGCACACGCGCGCACACACACACACACACACACGTGCGTGCTGTGGTTTCCGCTCTGACAGTTTGCAAAAGGACTTCCTGAAGTAGCCAAATAAGACAGAGCACAGCAGCCTGGCAGAAGGTCCCTTCTTACAGTCAGAGATGCTGTCTTTCCACACCAAGCTTCCACGATAATACATTCAATTTAACTTCAACATTTGAGATTTGAGGAGATCATCTGACCTACACTATTAGAGCTTCATATTTTATAAAATAATTTTTTATATAGTTTTTAGTGTAGAAAGCTACTCTTATGATGGGTCCTAGCAAAGACAGACAGGTCCTTTTATGAGTTTGCATTAGTTCCTCTAACTCTGGTCTTCTCTGTTGCTAGGCTGTCTCGGCTGGCTCTTTTTTACTTCCTGAACTATAAAAATAGTTTTATCAAGTCACAGCTCCTCAGCTTAAAGATCGCCTTGTAGCAGGTGGAGTTAGCCACCGGTAAAACATTTTTCATTTTTCAAATCAGCAGAAATGTGTTTAGAATCAACACCAAATTTTTCTGTGTGGTTTGAAGATGAGATGAAAGTCTGCTTTGCAGAGGTTTTACAGATCCGAATGTTTCCAAGCTGATCTGAAGAAAACAAATAAAATAAACAGCAAAAAGCACAATAAAATGAAAGAAGTGGATAGATTTAGCAGAGCAGAGAATATGAAGCTGAATATGTAGAAAAAAATAAACAGAAAAAAGAAATTTATCTTACAAATGAGTGAACTAAAGGAGTTTTCTGTGAGAACCCCTTTGTCTTGAGACAGATTTACAGAACAGGAACAACCTTTCTGCCTTTTCTTGGATGTTAAACTCAGAGTATCATTTTATAAACATCTTAGGATGCCCCACTAGTTCCGGATGTTCTGTGCTGTTGCACAAGTTTAGTTTTTATTCTAATTATTTTATCGGTACTGATCACAGATTTGAACGGATCTAACTCTTTTGCAGATGATTGTGGTTTTAATCAAGTTTTATGGATAAAAAAAGCTAATATTAAAAAATGTGTTTCATAGATAGATAGATAGATAGATAGATAGATAGATAGATAGATAGATGATAGATAGATAGATAGATGGATAGATAATCTTTACTGACAGACTCTTAGGTCCAGATAAAGAAAAATATAAAACAACAAAACATTAAAAACAATAATGAAACAAAATTGGTAAAAACAAATAGAACAAATAAAAATGATAAAAGCATGAAAATAAAATAAAAATATAAATTATTTTAAAACTTACTATAGAGATGTTCTACACAATTAAGAGTAACCACACAAACACTTCAACCAGTGTTTTCTTATACAGGACAAACAGTGACAACTGCTCACAGCAGGATGAGTGATTGCTAAATTATACTGTTGGCAGAGCTATCCAGTCGTTCTCTAAAAGTGAATGTTAGTTTTCTTAAACGAGCTTTAAAAGTACAAATGCCTGCTGTTACAAACATCTGACTGGCACTGCCCCCTCTGGGTATTTTGAGTAAGATTCTTAAGGCATCACTGTATGCAACATGCAGCTTCTTCATGATGATTGTGGGATGACCACAGTTGGGCTGTATAAAGTGGAGTACAATATGCTTTAAATAAAGCCACCTTAACTGACAGTGAACAAAAACTAAACTTACCTATTGGCCTGTGCATAGAGCTTACAGCACTGTCTATGGATTTCAGCATCTCCACGCATTTGATTGTTTTTAAAGTGGCCAAGGTATTTCACCGTCTCACACACATTAAGATCACTATTAGACAGTTTAAACACAGGAAAGTTTAGCCTTTTATCCTACTTGGTTCTACATATCAAGATAGCACTTTTAACAGCATTATACTGGATATCATACTGCACACCGTATTCAGAACAGATATTTAGGAGCTGCTGTAAACCAGCACCACTTGGACTGAAGACCACCAGGTCATCAGCATACATCAGATGGTTGATCAGAGTTTTACCCAGAAGACATCCTGTGTTACAGGCTCTCAGCTGCATTGGAATCAGTACCGATCATCATCAGTACATCATTGTGATCAGTACCGATAAAATAATTAGAATAAAAACTAAACTTGTGCAACAGCACAGAACATCCGGAACTAGTGAGGCATCCTAAGATGTTTATAAAATGATACTCTGAGTTTAACATCCAAGAAAAGGCAGAAAGGTTGTTCCTGTTCAGTGGTCTACAAGATGGCGCCCATGAGATGTTGTCCGTTTGCTAGGCTCCTGATCTTTTTTGGTTATTTGGTGTTTTTTATTGTTTCTTCTTTATCTGGTGCGGAGTCCCTTACTGTTGTCGATCAGGTCCGTGATGATCAACCTCCAGAACTCCGATACCGGATCCGCTTTCCCACCGCCTCTGGAACCTGGCGTTAACCCAGGTCTCGGCCCTCTGTTACCTGTCGGCCTGCCGCTGCCCAGGAGGCCATGGAAGAGGAAATGGGGGAAGAGAGCCGGCTTCTTCGTTCAGCTTCGAAAGATCATGAGAGGCGAAGCTCTGCCTGATCGCTGCTCCGCGGCTGTGTTGTGGCGGATCCAACAGAAACTTAACGGAGTTGGGCTGATCTCGCTGCTAAATGGAGCCCCTGATGCAGGACGCTACCTGAAGGCGTAGGAGACAAAGAACCTCCGCGGGAGTAGCGTGGAGTCGCTACGTAGCTTAGCCCGCCAGCCGCCCGCCATTATCGAGCCCGCGGCACACACATCGCCAGATTCCTCCGCGAAAATGATGTTGATTAACGCGCGCTCCATCGCCAACAAGTCTCACATCCTCAACGATCTGTTCCGGACCAAAAAATTAAACTTTTTGTGCATTTCTGAGTCGTGGCAGCACAAAAATGGCATCACTCATCTCCGTGAGCTCTGTCCTCAAGACTGCTCTTTCTTCTCTGCTCCACGAACCACAGGCCGCGGTGGAGGAACAGCTGTTATCTTTAAGAAACACTTTTCAAGCCAAATTATATCCTCAAACTCCTACAGCTCATTCGAGATGATCATGATTAAAATTGGTCGAGCTCTACCAGTTTATGGAATTCTGGTCTATCGCCCACCTGGATCTACTTCATCCTTCCTGTCTGACTTTCAGGACCTCCTATCTTCAACTATTAAACTAGACAGGATAATCATTGTTGGAGATTTCAACATCCACGCTGAGGATCTATCTAACAGCTCTACCAGGGAGTTTCTAAACATGATGAACTCTTTTAACTTCTCTCAACACGTGTCTGGTCCCACTCACAGAGCAGGCCACGCCCTGGATCTAGTCTTTTCCTACGGACTTCTTGTTGATAAGCTGCAGATAAATGATGTTGTGTTCAGTGACCATAAGTCAGTTTCTTTTCATATCAACCTAAATTCTGAATCTCTTTTACCAGTCTCTGCTAAGCAACGACGTATTATCAACAGTTCTACCATTTTAAATTTCTCCTCCCTCTTTGACTTTGTACCTCCTTCCTCCGATGACGTAGATCTCCTCACTAACTCATTTAATGATCACTGCCTCAAAATTCTAGATCAGGTCGCTCCTTACAAAACCAGCCGCAGTTCCAGTGCCTCCAGTTCACCCTGGCTGAACAACCAGTTTCTTGATCTTAGACGCTCCTATAGAAAAGCGGAACGACGGTGGAAGAGGACAGGTCTGGTTGTTCATCGCGAATATTTTAAAGAACTTCTAGAGTCATACAACAAAGCTGTAGAAAATGCGAGGTCTTCTTTCTTCAGCAACCTCATATGTCAAAATAAGAATAATCCTAAGGTGTTGTTTGATACCATCTCCAGCATCGTGTCTTCTCCTCCGCAGCAGGCTCAGCTATCTTCAGCTGATGACTGTAACAGATTTCTCCACTTTTTTGCAAACAAGGTGTTGAATCTGAGATCTAGCATTCCACCAGCCCTCCCCCCCTCAGGAGGGGAGGCCCCTCAGTGCTCCGAGTCTTTCACCTCCTTCTCCCCAATTACACTAAATGACTTAACCTCAATAATCAGTCAGATGAAACTCCCATCATGCTCATCAGACATCTTACCTCCCTCTGTCTTAGTCGGGTCCCTTGCCTCTATCAGTCCATCTCTGTTGACTATAATCAACAGCTCACTGAGCCAAGGCTGTGTTCCATCTTACTTTAAAAATGCAGTAGTGACTCCTCTCTTAAAGAAACCAAACCTTGACGCCAGCTCCACCAGTAACTTTAGGCCCATTTCTAAGCTACCTTTCATCAGCAAAGTACTTGAGACGGTTGTTGAAACCCAACTCAGATCCTGGTTTTCTAGGTCAAAGATCTCTGACCCCTTCCAATCTGGCTTTCTGAAGCAACACTCAACTGAGACTGCTCTAGTAAGGGTGCATAATGACCTCCTGATGGCTGCTGATGCAGGGAAATGCTCTGTCATGGTCCTGCTTGACCTCAGTGCAGCTTTGACACTGTAGACCACAACGTTCTACTAAACAGGTTAAAGGCCCTGGCTGGGATTTCAGGTTCTGCTCTAGACTGGCTCTCTTCCTATCTCACTAACAGAACATTCACAGTGAAGTCCGAAACCTTCTCTTCAGACACTGCCTCTCTAACATGCGGGGTCCCACAAGGTTCAGTTCTAGGGTCTCTACTATTCGCATTCTATATTCTTCCTCTAGCTGGCATCATTCAGTCTTTCCCAGACATCTCCTACCACATCTACACTGATGATATTCAGCTCTATATGTCCTTTATGCCACACCAATTGGACAGGCTGGCCACACTTGTACTCTGCCTGACCCAGGTCAGTAACTGGCTGTCCAGCAACTTTCTTGTCCTCAATGCTAACAAGACAGAGACCCTGACCGCTGCACCCCCGGAACTTCAACCAAAAATCGAGCAGGAAATTGCCTCCTTTTGCCCATCAGCCAAGGCCAACATTAGAAACCTAGGAGTTATTTTTGATCCAGCTTTAAGTTTAGACTCACACGTCAAAACCATCTCCCGCTCTTGTTTCTTTCAACTGAGAAACATTTCAAAAGTCCGTAAACTGGTTTCTACTGCAGATCTGGAAAAAATCATCCATGCCTTTGTGTCATCACGCTTAGACTACTGTAACGCTCTTTTTACTGGTCTCAGCAAAACCTCCCTCTCACGCCTTCAAGCCATCCAAAATGCAGCAGCCAGACTCCTAACCAAATCCAGCAGACGAGCTCACATCACTCCAGTTTTACAGTCCCTCCACTGGCTCCCGGTAGAATATATAATACAGTTTAAAGTTTTAGTCCTGACCTATAGAGCTCTTAACAACCAGGCTCCAAGCTACCTATCTGAGCTTTTATCCCCACACACCACCTCTCGGAACCTTAGATCTATATCTGAAAACCTCCTGGCTGTTCCTTGAACCAGACTGAAAACCAAAGGGGACAGGGCCTTTCAGACTATTGCACCCAGACTTTGGAACAGTCTACCTTCAAATCTCTGTCTCTCCAAAACTGTAGAGGTCTTTAAAAATCATCTAAAAACTCACCTTTTCATCCAGGCGTTCCCTCCCTAAATGTTCTAAAAGATGGCTTTGTTCGGGTTCACACCTTCACTTTGTTTATACTCATGATTTAATTTTTTATTTTATCACTGCTATTGTTTTTCTGATGTCTTTATTGGTTAGAGGTATTTGCCCTGATCTTTATCATGTTGTACAGCGCTTTGTGATTTATATCTGTGAAAGGCGCTATATAAATAAACTTTTACTTACTTACTTACTGCATTGACAGATCATCAACATACAAATTAAATAAAACAGGAGACAAAATTCCCCCCTGCCTAACACCATTACTAACACCAAATGGTGTAAAACATCTACAGACTATTTTAAAGCTAAATGTTTTTTCTAAACCCTCTAAATCGAGCAACCACACTTTTGCTGTCTGCTCTCGTTCACCTCCGACCTTTAGTTTAAACTGGTCAGTCTGATGCTTTTATTATTAACCCTCTCAGGCTCACAATAAGTTTTGATAAAATGACAAACAACTAAGTCCTTCAGGGGTACTTCTGAGTTAAAAAATGGTCATGAAATACGTATGTGGAGTAACCAGGTAGGTAGGTTTTAACTGTTGCAAATCTGCAACACCTGCCTCCAGAGGGTTAATCAGTTCTGCTTCATTTACCTCCATGTTTTATTCAGAGTTTGTGGGGTGTGACTAAGTTTGGCCTTATCGGAGCTCTGTGTGCCTGTTGGATCTGCGTTTCCACCACTTGTAATCATACATGACAGCAGGTGAACCTTCTACATGTGTGTTCAGCTCATCACCTCTACGAAATGAAGGCAGCGTCCATAAGAACCTGGATAGGACCCACATGTTGTCATGTGAACTGAACACATGTGGCTGCTATTTGGCTTCTCATGAATTCAAACCGATGACATCACCAAAGGCTTTGATTTTAGACCACAAGTAACGTTTGTTCTGTTGTGTTTGTGTGTTCAGGATCAGACAGAGAGATCAGAACGGCTCGTATGCTCTGTGTTTATTACACGAAGGCCAAGTGATGCATTATCGCATCGACAAGGACAGTCATCAAAAGCTGTCCATCCCAGATGGGAAGAAGTTTGACACCTTGTGGCAGGTAAACACCTGCTGTCACCTTAGGGCCCATTATGTTTCCTCACAGGCATGGGCGTAATTTTGGGGGGGAGACGGGGACGGGGGGGGGGGGGGGGGGGGCATGTCCCCCTACACACACACTTTTTCCAAAGTCAATTTTTGTCCCCTGTACTTTTCACTGTCCAAAAACGATATTACACTACATAAAATAGACTGGTTGAGCACTAGGACTAAGGGATCAGCTAGAATCTGATGTAAATGAGCTCTATTGATCAGATATTCAAAAAATAAGTGTAAAATGGTGACAATGAGTAGGAATGAAAAGACTAACAAGGTGAAAAACAAAGTTGAATTGAAAGTATTATTTTTATTTATTTTTTATTTTATTTTATTTTTTTTGTTTTACTGCCGGGCTGCGCATTGGCACAGTGGTTAGAGCTGCTGCCTTGCAGCAAGAAGGTCCTGGGTTCGCTTCCCGGCCTGGGATCTTTCTGCATGGAGTTTGCATGTTCTCCCTGTGCATGTGGGTTCTCTCCGAGTGCTCCGGCTTCCTCCCACAGTCCAAAAACATGACTGTTAGATTAATTGGTCTGTCTAAATTGTCCTTGGGTGTGAGTGTGTGTGTGCATGGTTGTTTGTTCTGTGTGTCTCTGTGTTGCCCTGCGATGGACTGGCTCCCTGTCCAGGGTGTACCCGCCCTATTGCCCGTTGACTGCTGGAGATAGGCACCGGCCCCCCTACGTGGACAAAGCGGGTTCAGAAGATGGATGTTTTACTGCCACCTGTGTGCTTCACAATTCTGCATTCCTGACATTGCATGAAAGAGCCTCTAGGCTGTAGTTTTATACATCATTTTGTATACTTACTGTAAAGACCCCCCCCCTCCCCCGGTCTTCATGCCGGTTGTGTCCCCCACTTCTAAAGTTAAAACTACGTCCATGCTCACAGGAAGGTCAGCTAGATGTTGGACCGTTGATAAATAGTTCTACTCTGTTCCAACTCAGCTGGTGGAGCACTACTCATACAAGCCTGATGGCTTGCTGCGAGTCCTTACAGATCCGTGTCCGAGGCCGGACGGAGACTCAGGTAAAATCTCTCAGCACCAAAGACAGAATGATTTTTACAACATAACCAGGTGTTTCTAATCCCGTCCATGTTTCTTTCCTAGTGTTAATAGGACGACTGCCCCCACCACCACCAAACCCTGCTGGATTAGACTCTGTCATTGTAAGTTGTGTGTGTGTGTGTGTGTGTGTGTGTGTGTGTGTGTGTGCGTGTGTTTGTGTGTGTGTGTGTGTGTGTGTGTGTGTGTGTGTGTGTGTGTGTGTGTGTGTGTGTGTGTGTGTGTGCGTGTGTTTGAGTGACGATGGTAAAGATAGTAAAGTAAGATAACACAATTTATCTAAGGATGTTCAGCTCCTACATTATATTCTTCTTATTATATTTATTTATTTTGTAGTTTACTTGCTCACAAGACGCCTCTGTCAGTGCGCCTCAGGGCAGCTGTGGCTACATGGTGGCTCATCACCATCAGTGTGTGAATGTGGGTGTGAATGGATGAATGATACACTGTAGTGTAAAGCGCTTTGGAGTCCTTACTCTGAGAGGCGCTGTACAAGTGCAGGTCATTTATCATTTTTCATTTATCAAAACAATATCAGTAAAACACAATGAAAGAACAGCCGTGCAGGAAGACCCAAAGGTCCTATATGACGCCAACTTCCCCAAAGACATGAGCTCTTTCAGCAACAGAAACAAAAATGTTTAAAAATATATGTGCCATTTCAGACTAACGTGACTTTTAAGAGTTTTTTTTTTGAAAGCGCAGTTATATCTTATCCTAGTCTGATGAAATAAATAAACCCACTTAATGAAAGGAATGATCGATACTTTCCATTTTACCTTCTTAAACTGATGGTTTTTATCTCATCTGATGTAAAAGAACATCTATTTTATTTTCATTATTTCTCAAATTAATTAGATATCTGTGATTAATGAATGACTTCTCATCCCTTTATTCTAATTAGAATGGCTCATTTTAATGTTCGTTTAAACTGACAATTAGCTCAGTTCTTAGTGTTTGCATCAGTGAAAGGATTTAATTTGTTTGGTTTATTTTCATCATGGGTCACCCAGGGTGTTAGGGCTGAAGAACAGCTATGGGGTTGTAAACTTTAAAATCATACAGGTGAGGAGACCAACGGAGTGAAGAACTAACGAGTAAAACGGAATAAATTCCATGGAAACATTAGATCTTCTTAAATATGACGGTAAAATACAAATGATGTGAGCAACAGATGACATAGAAGTCCCCCCTGCTGCTCCAGACACTGGTGGCAGTGCCCTCTAGTAGTCAAACAACAAAACCCTATCCTACTTCGGGACGTTTTTATATACATTTGGTGTAGGTTAGACAACGTAGCAGCTGTCGTAGTTTGCTTGTATTCAACCTATCAGGAAGAAAAATGGTCCTGTTAAGGCCTTTCTGACTCTGTCGTACATGTGTGTTCTGGATCTATCGTAGGAGATGATCTGGTCACTGCTGTATAGAAGCAGCGCCAAACAAAAACTAACCCTAATTAAGATACATTCATGCTGGATAGCTGCTGTTAATCTGTAGTTGCACAATAACTGTGAATTTCGGGTCTTTCAGACGCACCACAGGTATTTTTACACCTCAGTCACCTGCTAAGGTAAACATCTAGATGTCCATAGCTTCAGGTCAACAGCCTATGTATGGACAATGTCGGTTTAGGACATTTAAGTTTCTGTAAGCTGAGCCCAGTGGGACTCCACATGAGACTGGACCAGAGCGTGTGTCCTGAGATGAGACAGAATGTTTGTTCCTTCAGCAGAATAAGAACTTTTCTCTATTTTCTGCCAGATGTGGACCCACTGCTCTAAACGAGAGAAAAAACGTCAACACAGCAGCTCGGTCTAAAGGCTTTAGGGTAACACGGCCTGCGGATCACCAAAATTATTAATCTGACTAAAAACAAAAACTAAACATGAAAGTACAGAAATAATACGTGTTGGTTTTAGCTATTGTTTGATTAATGTAGCAACCAAGTGCAAAACGTAGCACATTTAGATTCTTACTTGTGCAATACTTTTACACTTCATAGTATTTCATGTATCTCATTTCTTTATATTTGGATTAGGATTGATGCACCAATTTATCTAATTAAGTAAAATCTGAAAAATATGACTTGTTCAGTCGTTTAATCATCGTTTATTCTGTATAATTAAAACACAACACATCACTGAAACCCTTATGTAGGGAACGTGGAGGAGTACATTTAAACTGAGTTTGTTGTTGAAATAAATGTTCATTGATTAACAAGTGCTACATTATCTCACACACACACACACACACACACACACACACACACACACACACACACACACACACACACACACACACACACACACACACACACACACCATACACATCCTATAGGTCTGGATCTGATCACTCTTACAGCTGTTTGATAACTCTGTCATGTTTGATTTCCAGAAAAAAATAGCAGATAGAATTGTGATCACGTTGGGAGAAAAAGCCCCCATACTGAGAAGGAAAAAGGTAGATTAACACATCAAACCTATGCTTCACTCAGTTACCCACTTTTTTCGGTTAATATTCTTGTCTTTCAGAAATGCATTTTATTGATGACGTTTAAAAGTCATTACATCATTATGCATTTTTTTGCATTCTTCTAAAACCTTGCATATGTTACTCACAGAGTCATAGCTCTCGACGCGACTCTGATAACCTCAATCCTTATGAAACAAGTGTGTGTGACAACCAAGCAGTCGACAAAGGTAAGCTGCCGTAAACACTGAGGTCAATTTTGCTTTTTAAAATAAGGATGCTGGTAGTTTTGGATTTTCTTGGTCATTCACAAAATCTTTACTTATTATCTATAAAACCATTGCATCTGTCACTTCACTATGACCAGCTCAGTGGCATGAGTGTCCTCCCTGAGACTGAGAGATTGTGGGTTAAAATCCATAGTCGAGTCATACCAAAGAGTTTAAAAAAAATGGGACCCAATGCCTCGCTGCTTGACACTCAGCAAGTGGTTGGATTGGGGGGTTAAACCACCAAATGGTTTCTGAGCACAGCTGTGTTTGCAGCTCACCACGCCCCCAGGGGATGGGTCAAATGCGGAGAACAAATTTCACACATCAGTGTGACAAGTGGTGACACTTTAACTTTATTCCGGCATGACATTAAAACACTGGTGTGTCAAGACCTTTAAAGTGAGGTGGCCCAGGTGGGGCACTTGTTGATGCATGGCCATTTTTCTTTCTTCTCTTTTGAGCTGTTTTGTGGTGGTTAGCTAGCAACTTTTTGGTGCATCACTGCCTACAACTGGAGTGGAGTGGGACCAGGACTCTACATATTATTTATGTCAATACACAGGGAGTGCAGAATTATTAGGCAAGTTGTATTTTTGACGAATAATTTTATTATTGAACAACAACCGTGTTCTCAATGAACCCAAAAAACTCATTAATATCAAAGATGAATGTTTTTGGAAGTAGTTTTTAGTTAGTTTTTAGTTTTAGCTATTTTAGGGGGATATCTGTGTGTGCAGGTGACTATTACTGCACATAATTATTAGGCAACTTAACAAAAAACAAATGTATACCCATTTCAATTATTTATTTTTACCAGTGAAACCAATATAACATCTCCACATACACAAATAAACATTTCTGACATTCAAAAACAATACAAAAACAAATAAGCGACCAGTATAGCCACCTTTCTTTGCAAGGACACTCAAAAGCCTGCCATCCATGGATTCTGTCAGTGTTTTGATCTGTTCATCATCAACATTGCGTGCAGCAGCAACCACAGCCTCCCAGACACTGTTCAGAGAGGTGTACTGTTTTCCCTCCTTGTAAATCTCACATTTGATGATGGACCACAGGTTCTCAATGGGGTTCAGATCAGGTGAACAAGGAGGCCATGTCATTAGTTTCTCTTCTTTTATACCCTTTCTTGCCAGCCACGCTGTGGAGTACTTGGACGTGTGTGATGGAGCATTGTCCTGCATGAAAATCATGTTTTTCTTGAAGGATGCAGACTTCTTCCTGTACCACTGCTTGAAGAAGGTGTCTTCCAGAAACTGGCAGTAGGACTGGGAGAGCTTGACTCCATCATCAACCCGAAAAGGCCCCACAAGCTCATCTTTGATGATACCAGCCCAAACCAGTACTCCACCTCCACCTTGCTGGCGTCTGAGTCGGACTGGAGCTCTCTGCTCTTTACCAATCCAGCCACGGGCCCATCCTTCTGGCCCATCAAGACTCACCCTCATTTCATCAGTCCATAAAACCTTAGAAAAATCAGTCTTGAGATATTTCTTGGCCCAGTCTTGACATTTCAGCTTGTGTGTCTTGTTCAGTGGTGGTCGTCTTTCAGCCTTTCTTACCTTGGCCGTGTCTCTGAGTATTGAACACCTTGTGCTTTTGGGCACTCCAGTGATGTTGCAGCTCTGAAATGTGGTCAAACTGGTGGCAAGTGGCATCTTGGCAGCTGCACGCTTGACATTTCTCAGTTCATGGGCAGTTATTTTGCGCCTTGGTTTGTCCACACGCTTCTTGTGACCCTGTTGACTATTTTGAATGAAACGCTTGATTGTTCGATGATCACGCTTCAGAAGCTTTGCAATTTTAAGACTGCTGCATCCCTCTGCAAGATGTCTCACTATTTTTGACTTTTCTGAGCCTCTAAAGTCCTTCTTTCATCTTCTGGTGTTTTATTGGCGGTTGGCAAACAACGAATGGTGCATTACCGCCACCAACTAGTGTGGAGTGTGGTCTGGAACAGCGCTCATAAAACAAAATCAAACCCATTTTGCCAAAGGAAAGGAAGTGCCTAATAATTATGCACACCTGATATAGGGTGTTGATGTCATTAGACCACACCCCTTCTCATTACAGAGATGCACATCACCTTATATGCTTAATTGGTAGTAGGCTTTCAAGCCTATACAGCTTGGAGTAAGACAACAAGCATGAAGAGGATGATGTGGACAAAATACTCATTTGCCTAATAATGCTGCACTCCCTGTAGAAAAATAATAATAATAATACAGAAATGTTGTGTAGGCCTGAGGCTAGAAACCAATGTTAAATGTGGATGCTCAGGCTGCCACCTACTGTGTTGTGGTTTATAGTCCCAAACCTTTTGTGGACAATGTTAAGTAAATTTAAATGGAACTCAATAGGGTGGCACCTGGGGTGGCCAATCAGATTCCAAAGGTGGCTTGTGCTACCCTAGGGCACTCCCTGGATACGTCCCTGCAGTAAAACTCAGTAGAACGGTCTCAGGCCATTTGAATTGATTTGTTTATTTCAATCCTGATCGATGGTTTTCCTCCATCAGAGGCAATGCCAATGGACACAAAGGTGTATGAGAGTCCTTACGCAGATCCAGATGAACTCAGGAGCTCCACTGTGGATCGCAAGCAGCTCTTCTTGGAGGATGGAGAACTGGGCTCTGGGAACTTTGGCACTGTTATCAAAGGGACCTACAAGATGAGAAGGTATATTAGAGCACCTTACCACCATCAAAACTCGCCTATCAGCCTCATCACCTACAAGGACTTTCAGTTATCTGGATCACAGCTACATTAAAACACAGTTAATCACTTACAGCAGGCTTGGTTTTTAAACTATTAAAAAATTATCTTCAGCCTTCAAATCAAACAGATACAGGCTTAATGGGATATCCTCCACCTGCAAAGGTTGCTAGTTCAATCCCACTTCTGGGATCAGTAGGACTCCAGAAACGGAAAAATACTAGGAAAAAGCTCAGAAATGTAAAGATAAAGATGTAACATTTATATTTTTAAAAGAAAATAATCTTAAAAATTGAGCAGAATAAAAAAATTATGTTGAGCTAGATTATCAACATCATTGTCAAAACCCAGTCACTCTTAGATGATTACTGATCTGTAGCTAGTGTGACTGGTTAACGGAGCACTGGGGAAAAACATGACTCTGAAAGAACAGAACTATGGGAAATGAAGGCAGGGGTAAAATGGTCACTGATACAGAAGGATACTAAAGACATAGGGACTTTACACCACTAAGGCTTAACAAAGATAGGAGGAAAACTAAAGAGAAATAAAATTATGCTAAGTGGCTGGGTAATGGGAAATGGCAGGACTGATAGTAATATTAGGAAATGGAGTGATAAACCTGAGTGACGTCTGAGGGGACCGGAGATGAGAGTTGGGGTATGGAAAGGACACAGGATGACATGGACAGGACAGGACACAGGACATGACAGCACTAGGCTTCAGTGTTTAGTCACCAGATTTTCTCTTTGTATTAAGAATAACCTTTGGCATATTTCCACATCATAATTTGATAATTCATAAATCATTTTTAAAAGATGTGCAAACACCTACTTTTCTAGAGGGAGGTCAAACTAAGTCAGAAAGTTTCTTTTATAAATGCTGGAGCAGAGTAAAGTATGTTTTAGTAAAATCAAATAATTTTTACATATTTCTGATGCTGACATGATGGGAGGCCATACACACATTTGATGTATTATGAAGATTGTCTGTCATAGGGTTTCTCAGGTTTTAGTTTGCACAGATAAAAAACTAGGACAGGAAAACAGATCCGCTCGCGTTGTGCATTAACAGTTACGCTTTACTCAGCTTCAGGATTTTCTCATTCAGAATAACAAACAGCCACATGTGGACCCACAGCCACAGAACCCTAATCGAGATCACAAGTGATGAAACCCAGTTAAATGCTGGTCTTCCTGTGTGTTAGAACAGAGAAACCAGTTGCTGTTAAAATTCTGAAGAACGATGATAACAGCCCAGCTGTGCGTGAAGAAATGCTGCGAGAAGCCAGCGTCATGCAACAGCTGGACAACCCCTACATCGTCAGGATGATCGGGATCTGTGAAGCGGAGAACCTCATGTTGGTCATGGAGTTGGCTGAGTTGGGACCGCTCAACAAGTTCCTGCAGAAAAACAAGTAGGTCACCAAACTAATCCTCTTAGATTCAGGCAGCTTGATATGATTTGTCTGATTCCAGTTTTACAAACCTGTTGATCATTTTCCCTAAAATATCATCTTCATTTAGAACAAACCATGTCATTGTTGTGCCTAGATCTGAGCAACCGGGAGTGAAAAACAGACATTTGATCTAGTTAATCTAGACTGCATGGGAAACATAGTTCAAAAAAAGTTGAAGTAACAAAAGACTTAAATGTCTGACCCTGTTCTTGGATAAAAACTAGATGTTCTCCCTTAAGCCCCTCCTCCTGCCTCTACAGTGTGACGAATAATTTACGTGATCCAAAAGCATTGATCAATAGAGTTGCATACCCACAAGAGGGAGCAGTCAATCACAGAGAATGCGCCGCATTTCCCAAGATGCACTACGGGGTGACACAATGGGTGTTTCTCAATGTCAAGGAACCTCTTATTGATGTCTTGGTCCTGCCCAGGTTGCATAGGAGATGTGTCATCAGGAGCCGCCAAGGCGTGTTCCAGTGTTCTACCGAGGCATCTGTTCTCCGTTTGTTAGCTGTTTAGCTAGTTGAGCAAGGATACACAGGAGGTGTCTTGTAGCCTGGCCATGGTCAAAAATTTCCCAGAATACACCGCAGTATTTACAAAAGGATAGAGGATCAGAAGCCAGCAGCTACTTTTGGGGAAAATTTCCAGTTTAAATGTAACCCAACTAATTGTAGCTATCGGGTTGATATTTAAAAAGTTTTTTTTATAACTAAGCAGTTATCTATGGTTGGTTAGTTGCTTAGTAGTTGTGACCTCGATGGCTAGCAGGTAGTAACTCACTTACATATTTAACTTAACCAATATATACACAATTTAAAAAGTAAAAGGCACGTTATATATTCATATCAAAACTTATACGTATAAAATATAACGTTACCTCCCGTGTCACGTAACGCTACGTGACCAAGGAAGGACAGTGTCCTCGTAAGCAAGGCGCCTGGCCTCGTAAGACATCGGTGATTTCTCAATCTCAAGGCACGGTGAAAATACCGCGGTGTATTCTGTAGGCTACAAGACACCTCCCGTGTATCCTCGCTCAACTAGCAAAAGGGCGAACAAACGGAGAACACATACCTTGGTAGAACATGAACATTGGAACATGTCTTGGTGGCTCCCGACGTATCTCCTAGGCAACCGGGGCGGGGCCGAGACATCAAGGCTAGGATCCTTGGCATTGAGAAACACCCATCGTCTTGCTAGGCCAGGTGCCTTGACACTGAGAAACACCCAATGACATCAGCGTAGCACACCAACATAGCTTGAATGCTAACTTGACCTGCAGTAAATTATAGAGCTCCGGACCCCACGTGACTCTCAGTTAGTAGACGCCATTTTGGCAAGAAAAAAAAGGTAAAAAACACGGATGTAACCATGAACGTGAACAGGATCTGCTTGGATTTTACTTCGTCGGAGTTTACGTCACACTTTAAAACCGAAGAAATCGTTTTAAATAGTCAGAAATTAAATAGACTAAACATCTCCGACCCTTACCCTGGGATACTTTTTAAAAACGCCAGAAGCTGTCGGAGCGGACTTCTTACCGGACCTGGCCGGGGAACCCCTTGGGATTCCCCCGGCCGGAGGAGCTGGGGAGAGGTCTGGGACTCTCGACGCTTCTGCCCGCTCTGACGCCAGAAGCTGTCGGAGTGGACTTCTTACTGGACCTGGCCGGGGAACCCCTTGGGATTTACCCGGAGGAGCTGGCTCCGGCGGCTGGGGAGAGGGAAGTCTGGGACTTTCGACGCTACATGCCCCCGCAACCCGACTCCGGATACGCGGATGAAAATGGATGGATGGACAAATAACATAGATTTACACGTAAGTAGTTTAAATAGAGTGCTGTGCTGTTTGAATGTATAAACTGAACGCCAAGAGAAACCACTAGTTTGATTGTTTTCCGTGAATTAAATAAATATGTCAGGCAGGAGCGTCTCAGGATCTGTCTGAGATCTGTCTTGGTGAGACAGATAATAGCAATCCAAAGTGCTTTTTATGTGTGATCTGACAATTGATCAACCATTGCTTAAAAATGAAATACAGCTTAGCCGGTTAATTGCTGTGATCATAAAACACGTAAACGGCAGCACGCAGAACTCACGAGGCAACGTTTTACGTGACGTTTACTTGTTGCTATGAGTAATAAGACAGAAAAAGCCACGCCAAAATAAGTTTAGGAAGCCCACTAAGAATCGTAATAAAAGCATTTAAAATAAATACCATACACAGTTGAGGAAACGTTGGTTTAAGTACCTGATATGAAGTGGTCGCTGCATAAGCGAAAACTTTTACTCTCGGGATCCCACAGCTTCATTTTAGCCTGGTCACTAGTGCGTTTTATTACAATGATCCAACGTTTGCGGCGCTCCGGATCTTGGGGAATCCTGTAGATGGCTCATTCCTTATGTCGTCCGTGTCTGTTCTGCATCCTGGGGCACAACAGGAATCTACCATATTTCCCGTTTGATTGAGTTTTCTGACAATCACAAATAGTCCAGCTGCCGGCTTCTGCCTGCCAAATGGCGCCGTTTCGATTTGAACTGTTGCATGCCGGGAAACGTGACGTCAGCTCTATAGTCAGTCAGAAAAATTAGAGCTAACTGTAGAAAAAGAAGGAGGGGGAAAAATAAAGGATTAATCTTTAGTGTATTGGAGATAAATACCTGATGTGTTCAACCATACGCTACATCAGACTATTGTTTTAGCCTGTTGTATGATTAGCAAGGATTACAGATCGTGGATTCCTGACGGTTTTAGATGTTTCTCTGCTTGAATACTGCAGGTTTTCTTAAAACAGCTAGTATACAACCTGATGAAGGCTGAAGAGATAATTCAGCAGTTAGAATCAGGTGTGTCTGAGCAGCAATTCGTCAAAAACATTCGTTGTCCGTTAGCACTTCAAGGCTAATTGTGCGCGCAGTTTGAGCCCCTTGTATCTGAAAGCCACGGCCCATACAGCAAAAGGGAGGGGAGCAGAGGTGGGAGCTGTAGTCGTTCAAATCTCCTCCTCATCATGCTACAGACCCCGGCTTTAACAATAACAAATATTATAGATACTGTAACATCATGAGGTACTGTTCACATTCAGGTTTACTATATCTGCAGACACACATCTGTAAAGAACATCACAGAGCTGGTCCATCAGGTTTCCATGGGGATGAAGTACCTGGAGGAGCATAACTTTGTGCACAGAGACCTTGCTGCTAGGAATGTCCTGCTGGTCACGCAGCATTATGCAAAGATCAGTGACTTTGGACTCTCTAAAGCTGTGGCAGAGGAGCAAAACTACTACAAGGTAATTCAATCAGCTATCAGTCAGAACTCTGGAGCAGCTGATTTGATCGCCTAAGATTTCAAAATCGATCCCAAAATTACTAGATGGATGAATAAATAAATAGCAAGCCTGAGTATGATCAGTATAATACCCAGACCAGAAGCAGAACTCAGCTCTGCTCCAGTGTGAAGGACAGAAAGAGAATAAAACATCTGGCTTACAGACAGGTTATTTGAATCCCTTCTGGCTTTTGCAGTCATTTAGTATAAAATTATAAAATTACCTAAATGGTCATTCAGTTAGTGATGATGATGATGTGTGCCTCGTCCTTCAGGCTAAGACTCACGGGAAATGGCCAGTGAAATGGTACGCTCCAGAATGTATAAACTTCTTCAAATTTTCTACCAAAAGTGACGTGTGGAGCTTCGGAGTCCTCATGTGGGAGGCCTTTTCCTTTGGCCAAAAACCATACAAGGTACCACTAATCAGCCTGGACACACACACGCACACACACACACAAACACACACACACACACACACACACACACACACACACACACACACACACACACACACACAAAATGCTCTGAAACTACAGTAATCAATCTCCTCCACGTACACCAGCAGAACATAACCTTGTTGAGGGTCATTAGGGTCAGGTTGGCTCTGATGATGGACCTCTTAGCTTTCTTTCACAGTGTGGAATCAGTGTTTATAACATTTATTACAGGTATGTTTAAACAGCACACAGACAGTACTGAGTGGAAGAATGCTTAATACCTGGGATATTCAGTCCTGGTCCTCCAGGGCCATTACTGCTTGTTTTCCATAGTTTTGCTGCTCTAAAACACTTGGTTTAAATCAGTGGGTGACTAACAGGATTCTGACAAACTTGAGGACCTGATGAAGAAGTGACTGAATCTTTGAATCAGGTGTTGGAACAGCTCAAACATCCAGTGGCCTATCAGGGCTGAGGACACGTGATATAACTGCTCTAAAGATTCCCTTTCAGTCGATTCACTCGGTACAATGAAGGTACTATGGGACATCACGCCCTCGTGTGGCCTGGCTGAAGACACATTTAATCACTCCTGTAAAGGCAAATGAGCCTTTACTGGGTGGTGGTCCCGCCCTCCACCTACAAGCCCCCAGTGTCACTGGCATTTTTCAGTTCTTATGCTCTTCACCTCGCTGATAACATGTGAGTACAAATAACTATTGTTAGCTATGCAATAGAAAAGTTAGCTTGACTGCTTGCTGGTGTTGATTCTGCTGCCTTCTGGTCAGCCTTCACCCACCTAGCGTTACCTTTTTGTGGCTGTTTTAGCTTTCTGCCTCCATGCTCCTTTGCCCCTGCCGCTCTGCTCTGTGTCTCGCCATAAGCACCGTGTTGGACTCAGCTAGGCGAAAGTCTGCTTTGAGTCCCTGTCCTCTGGGCTGTGGGTTTTTTCTCCATGAGAAACACCTGCACGAGGCCTGCCGTGTCTGCATGGTTCGCAGCAGGACCTCATGCTCTCCGAGTCGTCTCCTGCGCCTTTGCACTGTTCTGACGCAGGCGGTCTAGTGATCGAGTTCCCCGTTGCTAGCTGGGCAGATCACATGGAGGTGACGGACAAGCAGACCAAATCCGACCTGGAGATTTCCCAGTTCTCTCCTCCGGCGGGGAACGAGTAAGGCATGCTGGACATTTGTCAACAGTCATGACCTGCCGGGGACTAGGAAACTCTTTGCGGTGGATTGTGTTACCGCTGCCTTAACTCCCGAATGTCGAGAGCAAAATTCTTTTCTTCAGCTTTGCCAACGAGAGGAGGAGAAACTTAAAGTGGATAGGCCTGCTCATCCATTGGACCAAATAGTTCCCATTTTGTTAGTTTTTAACTCCCCACCGAATCAGCTGAGGTCAAAAACTCACTACCACCTTTACCGAACTTTGCGGCTGAGCTTGCGTCATCCTGGGGGAAGCCACTGTCCATCCACAATGCGGTGTTGGGCTATGGGCAGTTTGTGGACCTAAATGGTGAAGAGAGGTTGGAGTTTGTGAACCTTCTCCCCCTTGGAGCCCTTACTGGTAGCTTATTTGGCCTCAACTGGCAGCATTGGGGTGAATGGACCTGCCATTTTCCTCTACGCAGTGCAGGTTTTTCACCACACAGCTGGAGAGGTTTCACAGTGCCCAAGCCACCTCCGCCTTTGCACTGAGCTCTGCCACCACATTGCAGACCTGCTTAATAATGTGTATGGTGGACCTTGGAGCTCTGGTTCCACCCGACAGCTCTCTTACCCCCCCAACAAGATGTGAGACCTAGATGCTCGCAGCGGTTAAACGAGCCATCATCTTGCCTCCCCTGCCTCAGATGGCGGTGTCGCCAGCGGCAGTGGTGAGCCCCGTGGCTGTTCGATGGGGTAACCGCGCCATCATGACACCGTTGCACAGCCAGCTTATTGCGAACCTTTCTCTGGCACGCATTGCGCGGTGTCCTTTTGGGTCAGTGCATGGTTGCCGTGGGTTACTGCCGGTTACAATTGCGGGCCGGACAACACAGGTGTACTGCTGTTGCATGCACTATTGTGAACGCAGATGCAGTGGTCATGTTGAGAGGAAATTCAGGCTGTTAACAAAAACGAGCTGGTCGAGCAGTCCCCCCTCAAGGAAACAAACAAGGGTTTGTACAACCATTACTTTGCTGTCCCCAAAAAGAGGGGGAGGGTGTCGCCCCATCATGGATCTGTGTAAACTAAACAAGTATTTGTGAGGGTACAGTTTTTCAAAATGCTAATGCTCAAGCAGTTGTCAAATGCCGTCAGCCCTGGAGATTGGTTTGTTGTGATGAATCTCATGGATGCATATTTTAATGTGGGATTCATCCCAATCACAGGCAATTCTTGTCCTTCGTGTTTGAAGGGAAAGCCGATGAGTAATTAGTTGTCCCACTCGGATTAGCCCTAGCTCTCCGCACCTTTTCCAAATGTGTGGAAGTTGTGTTAACACCTCTCAGAGAGACGGGTATCCACATTCTTGCCTACTTGGATGATTGAGCTCTGGTAGCAAGTTCTCAGGTGCATGAGGAGGCTCACATTTCCAAGGTTCTTTCTCATGTGTGAGCCCTGGGCTTTCTCCGTAAATTACAAGAGCTCCCTAGATCCAAGCCAGAGGGTTTCCTTCCTCGGATTAGAAATATGCTCTCAGTCAGCTAGAGCGTGCTTCTTGGATCATGAGATAACCGCATTTTGCAGCAACATGACCCACTTCCAAATGGGAGCCAATCACAGCTTTAGAGCTGTTTGGCATAATGGCTTCCATTATAGCCATGGTGCCTCTCGGTTGGTTATAGGTGGGGTGCGACACTTCCAGCATTGGGTAGGCCCTCCCTCATGTCATCTTCACCGGACATTGACCATTCCCAGGACCTGCGTAGTGGCTCTTCTCCCATAGAGAGAACCAGGCTGCTCCAGCAGGGTTCTCCAATTGAGAGGGTGGCCAAGCATGTGGTGGTGCCCACAGGTGCTTCCCTAAAAGGCTGGGGGGTCTCTGTGTGGGATTACGGCAGTAACAGACATATGGTCCCCAACCCAATCGGGGTTCCGTATATACTATCTAGAACTGTCAGCCGTATTTCTGGTCCTGAGGATTTTCGGTCTTTACCTGAGAGGTCAGAATTTGCTAGTATACACAGACAACTCAACTGTTGTGTCATATCCCCAGTTGCATGACCCACAGGTTAGACCTGCTCTCCAGGCAAGGTAATGGAGGCTTCACCCAGTTGTGGTGTCCCAGACCTGGACAAGGTTTGGCAGGACGGTGGTGGAGCTGTTAGCGTCACTCGCAAACACACACTGTTCTTTGTTCTTCTCCTTGACAGACCAGACTTCATCAATGAAGACAAACACTCTGGGCCCAACATCCTCCTCTAAGCCTGTTACATCCCAACATGTGTTGGTAAAAATGTGAAGGATGGGGATAACATAAAAACTGGCGGAGGAGTTTAAAATGGGTTTATTTGTACAAAAAGGTTATTAAAAACACAAGCAAAACTGATTTCTCTAAAAGGTTAACATTACAAAGCAAATTATCAACTATAAAATACCTGGTAAAAACTTGTATTTAAGGTTTTTACCGCAACGAAGGTGTTTTAAAATCCTGAAGTTGATAAAAGGCTAAAAACATTCTACTGACTGAAAACACCTGGTAAAAACTTATCTTAAAAGCTTTACCACAACGGAAGGTGTTTAAAACCGAGGTCAGTAAAATAGCCACAGACAAAGTTAACCTTAAAACCCAAACACACAAAAGATCCCACCGGATCATCCTCAATTTCTCATTAAGAGTTAAAAACAACCAAAGTTTAAAACTCAAACAAATCCAAACGACCAGGGGTTGAAACTAAACAAAACCAGGAGGACAGCAGAACCCCTGCACTGCTGCCTCCCAGACTGCTGAAGACACAGCCTTTTTATACAGGTGTTGGCAATCAAGGAAGATTTATTGCAGCTGTGCTCCTCAGCAGCCCGGGAGAGAGGAGGAGGAGGGGCGGTGTCAGGCTGACTCACCAGGGCTTGGTGATTCTGGCTGCTTCTCTCCACAGGCCAGCCTGGCATCCGTAACAACGCCTTTTTTTCCAGTGGAGCTGATTTCTGCCATGCTGGAGAGGGTGCACAGGATGAGCATGCCTCTGATTTTGGTGGCTCCTCAGTGGCCCACAGAATCTTGATATCCAGAGGTGATTGATCTGGGGGTGCTGCACCCTCATCCACACTTGTGGGAACTCCAAGCCTGCAGGTCTTCCCCTGTCTGTGGTGAATACTTTTCAGAGCTCGCACCCCTAAGGGTCTATATGCCTAAAAGTGGAAAGTATTTGGGAGTTGTGTCAGTGCAGGTCCGTGGTTCCTTCGCAGTACTCCACTGTGAACATTGTATCTTTTCTACAAGATCTACTGAACAAGGGTTCACCCTTCTCCACACTGAAGGCCTACCTGTTGAACATTTCTACTTGTCATGAGTCTTTTAACAGGGTTTCCCTGTGGCTCTCTGATTCTTGAAGGGAATTCGCAAGCTGAGGCTTGTTGTTAGACTTTTTGTCCAGATGGGACAAAAAAGGACAGAATTTTGGTTCTAGAGACCCGCTGTGGTCCTCCGTTTGAGCCAGTTGAGTAAGTCAACATGAGGTTCCTGTCTTTTAAGACAGCCCTGCTCTTAGTCCTGGCATGGGCTAAGTCAGGTTAGGGCTGGGCGATATGGTCCAAAACTCATATCTCGATATCATTTAGCTGAATTCCGATGTATGATATATATCTTGATATTTTTCCTCCTGTAAATTATTTACAAGTTGACTCACTTCACGTTGTCTTGAGAAATTATCTGCATAAATCAGTAGATTAAATGCATAAAAACATGTATTGATTCTTGTCAAACTTTAACATTAGTACCTATTCGCTACCAGTCTGAGCTTTAGAAACACTGGTACAGCTGCCTGCTGA